ATATATATATATATATATAATGGAACTATAGATGGGTGTGTGGAGCAATAGCACAGCAGGTAGGGAATTTGCCTTGCATGTGACAGACCTGGGTTGGATTCCTCTGTCCCTCGTGGACAACCCAAAAAGCTACCAAAAGGGTCCCGCCTGCATGGCAGAGCCTGGAAAATTCCCTGTGGCATATTTGTATGCCAGAAACAGTAACAAGAAATTTCACGATGGAGACGTTACTGGTGCCCACTCGAGCAAATTGATGAAAAATGGGAGGACAGAGCTACTGTGATATAAATGGGTGAAAAAATACTAAAACTAGGAAAAACTTGTGTGGAAGCTATCTAAAAAAAATAAAAATAAGAAACTGGGTCAGGAGAAGAAAAACTGCTCTGGATCTAATTAAAGACATTTTTTTCCAATGATATTAGGATGCATGTTAATGCTCCCCAACCCAAGAATCATAATTCTGACTGCATTAATCTGCATTGTATGAGATTAATGATACAAAAAAAGGTATTCATCATGTATACATTACAAGTTAAGCTGTCATTTTTCTTTCTCAGAAAATATCTTCTATTTCAATGTTATTTTCAACTTAACTATTCCATTCACTACAGGGCACTGTACAAAGTGAATATATCAGAGTTAACTTGAACAGGGCTTTTAACCTTAGGGTCAGTGATGAGTCTTTTGTAAAAATTTTTTTTCTCTATTGTGTATTTTCACATCTAGAAAATGAGGATAATAATTCTTAATCCAGAGTCTTATTATGACAATTGAATATCATGATTTGAATTTTCATTCTATGAAAATATACTAAGATGATCTCCAAACTAATTGCTTATTATTTGAGCTTTGGAGATTTTGTAAACTTTCTATAAGGATAGGCTTCTTTTCAGAATTTTCAAGATGCCCACATCAAGCATTTACCAATAAGTTCAACTGGAATATTTTGAAATAAGCTCAATTAAGGTTGGAAGATTCCATTATAATTTTTAATTCAAAGGAAAAAGTTTGAGAATATAATTTGCTATTACATATGGAGATAAATTAAATGAAAAAATAAATATTTCATAGTATCAATCTTCTTGTAATGGATCTAAAATTTATACATCATCCTCTCCTTGTCAGTTAAGTCATCTTGCTCACTTCTTCTTACACACCCCTCTTCATTTGTTAATCCAAAATTCATAATTTTTTACTTAAATTCTCCATGTATAAGGAAAAACATTTGTTCTTTGTCACATTTATTCTCTGCCTTGTCAATTTGCTTGATTAGCCAGGAAAGAATTATCTAGAGAAGTAAGTAAAGGTATAAAAGAAATTTTTGCTTTGTCCCTACACTTAGAAAAGCACAAGTAATAAAACTTTAAGAATTTTTATACTCAGGGCTGGAGGGATAACACAGCAGATAGGGCATTTGCCTTGCAAGCAATCCACCTGGGTTCAATTCCGAGCATCCCATATGGTCCCCCGAGCATACCAGGAGAAATTCCTGAGCGCATGAGCCATGAGTAACACCTGTGCAATGGCAGCTGTGACCAAAAAAAAAAAAATTCTTATATTTGGAATAAAACAAAAGTCTTCCCTTTGATTAAATTTGTTTGAACAATCAATATATGTTATCTACAACTTAGATATTTGAGACTGTAAGAATTGGATCAGGAATGTAGCTCAAGTAAGAGAAGATACATATGAGGCCTTGAGTTTGATTTGAGGCATCACTGAACTGAGTAGTATTGACTATAGCTTGAGTGTAGAGCTCTGTTGTACGTGCCTCCCTTTCTTCCCCAAAATTACTTGATTTTAAAGCATTTTAATTTGATTTTGAACAGAAGAGTAAGTTTTATCAAGATCATCATCTCATCTGTCAACCTCATATTTGTTCCATTCCCAACTTCAGATGGATGTGGTCTAAGTCCTTTACAAATTAGCTGAGGTAAACAATACTGCCATCTTAAATATTGTTGGATGTTTTCACAGCTGATTTTCTCATCCTATCAGGTCACTTTAATTTGCTGTCTTTTCCCAATTGGTGAGTCTCAGTGACACTCCCATTTTGTCATCACCCGGCCAGGTTCTTAGCTGGTTAGTACCCAAACACCGACATACTGTTGTTCACCTCTCAGGTGATTGTTAAATTAGAAAACTAAAACTTGGTTTCCTCTGTTCTTGGTGAGGAGACAAAGAAACTGCCTACTCTTCTCATCTGTAAGGGTAAATGTATTCCAGTCTTTATTAATGTATGAAGGGGCAAAGAAAACTATAAATACTAATGTTTCTTTCTAATGCTATGAGAAAGTTTATGTTATAGATTAATTTTCTCTTTGGTTAACATCAGTCACAATTTTTATCATAAATAATGTACTCACTAGATAGTTTATTCTTAAAAGTAAAGCTATTAGTGATTGCTCTCTTCTTGTGAGTAGAACGTACTGGTAGTTAAGAAATTTGCTTGGTAATCAAAGATTCTGTTATCTTTAGTAAGCACGCTTCTTATGTGAAATAAAAGCAGAGCAGTCAGATGGTTTGGCCAAAGTTAGCTTACAATGCAACAACTATCAGACTTATAGATTAATAATTTGTTTGCAATAATTTATTTTAAAACCCATATGTTTGCTTCCCATTTATTTATACTACTTATCTGAATTAGATGATTCATACTACAAGTAAGTATATTTGGGGAATCAGCATAATTTAGGTTAGGTTAGATTGGGAGAAGACAGTTTGAATCTGAGTTTCAGTGGTTATTTTCTAAGTGGACTCCTTCTCAAAGATAAATGGGCAGCAAAATGAATGCAGTGACCACTGAAGCCTGAGTTTGCCTGATCTGCTGATACGTTTATGATCCATGAAGTCTTTCTGAGGTACATTACCTCTCAGAGTTTCCAGTGTGGTCATGAATGTATTGCTATGGCATCATTCCAGCTTCATATCTGATTCAGCTGAAGTTTAAATTTTCTAGTATTTAATTTCCACCAAAATGATACATTAATGCTTCATATAGATTAAAAACTTTTTATAGGAAATAGGGAATAGTTCATTGTAGCTGATCCATGAACCAATAATGATTTGGGGGGTCGCCTCCTTTTTTTTCATACATGGTATTTACCATCTTTGAAAAATAAGAGAAAAGAATCTTCCCTCACTCTTAGGTACTTTGAGGACTATGAATTCACAGAAGAAGAGATTACCAGAAGGAAAATGCATACATTTATAAATGAGGCTTCAGAAAACCAAAAAACAGACCTAAAGTATCACTTTGAACAATAAATTTATATAGGTATTAAGGAAACAATACTAATTTATTGTGTTATAAAGCAAAATTGAGGTTTCTAGGAAAACACATTGAGCAAAACTGACCAGGAACTTTACGAAGAAAACTAATGAAGGGGTCTGAGCAATGGCCCAGCAAGACAGGTGTTTGTCTTGCATAGGGAAGCACTAGTTTCAATCCCTAGCACCCAATATTATCACGTGAACCTACTAGAAGTGATCCCTGAGCATAGCAGAAACAGAACAAACACACAAAAATGAATGAGAAGCTTAGGGCTATCTGAGTAGGTTAATTTCTTCTGAACCACATTGACATAAATTCCTAGTCTCTTGTACTTAGATGTTTTTTCCTTTCCTGTCAGGAAGAATGCACCGTTTTATGGGAAATCTGGCCCACCATAGTCAAGAAGGGAGAGTACAGAGAGGCCTTAACTGCGTTTGCTATTGCTCAATCACCTTCAACTCAAAATTACTAGTAGACGAAAGTGGCTGATTTGAGTTCCTGCCATGTTGAATACCTCTCTACAGGCTTTGTGTGAAGGGGGTTATAGATATCATTTTATTAAACATAACATAACATTGCAGTTGTTGCTCCACCATCTACTTTGAGTGCTCATTTTGCTTGTTTGTTTTTGACCACAACAAGAAGTGCTTACTCCTGGCTTTGGGTTTTATTTGTTCAGGATTTATTCAGTGCTGGGGATAGAATAGCTTCAGTGCTTCAAATGTATATTATTGCAAAGCTTTAGAGCTGTGCTGAACTCCACAAGCCACAGGCCAAGAAATATTAGAAGTATTTGAGTTCTCAGGATAAAAGAAATATTTACAAAGAAAGATGTCAGCCCTGAATCTGGTTTATTTCATGCAAATACATTTTTAATCAGTTTAGTTGTGAATGGCAAAAATTAAGTCAAAATGGTCTCATTTCTGGATGAACTTAGATTTTTTGGTATCTAGTTTTTGTGATGGATAGATGTATAAAATCTCAGAGAGCAGCTAGGGGGTGGCCCTGACGGCTCTTCCTCTGGCCACCCAGGTTTTGGGGGCCTGGGCCACTCCCCCAGCCAAGGTGGCCTGGGCCATGGGGCAGATGATGGAGGAAGCAAGGGCCAAGCGATTGATTGACCATTTGCTGTTTATTCCAATCTCATTCCTGTTCACTCCTGTCTCTCTCTCTTTCTCTCCCGGCCCCCGATCTGGAACCCCTTTCTCCTTCTGGCTCTGGCTCTGGATCCTTATCCCCCAGCCCACTCTTATCAGTGTAGTTAAATCCTCAAACCATGAGAGGCTTGGTTTATACATAGGTGTGGTTACAATTAATAGGGTTAAAGTCCTTTCCCTCAGGGGATGCTGCTTCTAGGACAAATTATCTTTCAGCAGGCTGTACTGTCCTAACAACATTAGAAAGGAATTTTTGATTGAATAACCTGAGCATTTGTACACAAGATTAGGTATTCTATATTCAAAAATTAATTCCACTCTAGTACATAGGTTTGAAAAGTAGAAGAATTTACCATCCCTGATATAGAAATGCAGTATAATTATGTATTTTGTATTTCTCTTTGCTTTCAGTTATAGAGGATCAACTTTCAAAACATATCTGAAACACAATGCACGAAGAATAACTTTTAAATGTTACTCAATTATGCCCTATGCATATTGCTCACATTAATTATTGAATAAATAAAAGTGTGTAGAAAGAAGTTATTTTAATAGTCACTACTCATATCATGGAATTGCTGTGGATCAAGGATATCTTCTCTAGGAAATTTGTTGGGTTCAGTGGAATCTTCAAGGTAAAGTTCATTTTCCATCTGTTTCCAATCTTCTTGACTGCGGATTACAGAGGACGTCCTATCATATCAAATACAACATATGTCCCAGCCTGGAATGCTCCAAGTGACAACTGTAAATCATTTCATATTTCTATGGATCTGAGCTTCTATGCATTAAAAGGAAACCCTCAAGACACTGCCATAGGTCAAACTGTTAGCTTATTTACTGCCCCAAAACTTGGCCTCTATCCTTACATAGATGAAAGAACTGGAGAGCATAAACATGGAGGGATTCCTCAGTTGGGAAATGTATCAGAACATTTGAAACAAGCTGAGAAAGACATTTTAAAATACTTACCAAAAGATGAGTTAGGCTTGGCTGTAATTGACTGGGACGCATGGAGACCTACCTGGAGAAGAAACTGGTTAAAAAGAACAATTTATAGAATCGAATCAATTGAGTTGGTAAAAAAAAAGTCAAAGCTTGTAGGTGTAGCTGCTGAGAATCAGGCAGAAAAAGAATTTGAAGCTGCAGGAGAGGAATTCATGCAGAAGACTTTGGAATTAGCACTGAAACTTCGACCAAACAATTATTGGGGTTTTTCCCGTTTTCCTGACTGTAACAATAATAATTTTGCAAAAGTTAATCTCTACACTGGATCATGTTCAGAATCAGAAAAGAAAAGAAATGATGAGCTCAACTGGTTGTGGAAACTAAGCACTGCCCTTTTCCCATCCATTTATTTGAGTTCAAAACTAAAGCAAACCTCAAAGGGTGCACTCTATTCCCGTAATCGCATTAATGAAGCCATTCGGCTTTCTAAAGTACGCGACGAAAAAAATCCAATTCCGATTTTTGTATATACCCGTCTAGTTTTTATTGATAATATGACAGAATTTCTTTCTGAGGTAAGTAAATCAAGGTAGGATAACTACAAAACAGTGTCCATAATGCTATTTAGTAGAATTTGACTATATTTTTGAAGGGAATAAAGTTCACCTTTGATTTTTACTTATTTGTTTGGGTCTACCCAGCGTTTACTCCCGGCTCTGTGCTCAGGGATCACTCCTGGAGAAGATTTGGAGACAGGAATCAAACCTGGGTCTACTGTGTACAAGACAGGTGCCCTATTATTTGTATGATCTGTCCAGCCCTAAAATTAATTTGGTTTTATTTCTCTTCTTGAGCTACATCTGGCAGTGCTCAGGGCTCGGTCCTGGCTCTGCTCTCAGGGATCACTCATGGCAGACTTCGAGGTCTATATGGGATGAGTAGGTTTGAACTTGTGTACGCTGGCTGTAAGGAAGCACCCTACCTAAAATACAATACCTCAGCTCCTAAAATTCATCTTTAATAGCTTTTAGGAACAAACCTACATAATTTTATACCAACACGTACAAAATAAAACTCTAGCTTGTTTATAATTAAACAAGATAAGATACTACAGTCAGTAATGTATAAACTAATACATATAATGAACTATACGTATAAAATAACTAAGTATAAACTGATAGTATAAACTAATAAAGTAATAGATAAACTAAGTATAAGCTAATAACTCAGTTTATTTTACTTTGAAGTGTTTGATTTCATGACAATAAAAATAACTAATATAATAACAAGAATTTTAGATACAGGAGGACAGTGACTGTGTAAATGGGTCATAAGGGATGCGAAGGGAATTAAATTATTCTTTTCTCAGTATGCTTACTTTTTGTATCACTTTCTAATGAATGACATTTTCATATTATTTCTGCTAACTCTTTCTATTACATTTGCCAGATTGACCTTGTGAATACAATTGGTGAAGCATACGCTCTTGGGTCTTCTGGAGTTGTAATTTGGGAAAGCCCGACATTAACCCAAACAAGCGTAAGTTGAATTAATAGTAAATAGAGGAAATTTTTTCATTATTTAAATGTATTTTGATACTGTGCTATTGAATAATGAAATAAGTGCTATGCTTGCCAGATAGTAGTAGATTATCAGTGATAATTACTGAATCAAGCATTCTTGCTTTTGTACTTTTATTTAATAAATGAGAAATATTTTCTTTGTTTTGTCAGTAAAAGTATCAGTGATAAAATAAATTAATGACATTAAATGAAAATTAAAAAGTGAAATTGGTTGAAATTCACTAGATTGTTTCAAAGAAGCAAAAGTAAGGTTCTAATCTCAATGTATTGACAGAGTATACAATTATTTTTCTGCTACATTGCTTAGTAATAGTGTTAGCAAGAAAATGGATTTTCTTGCAGTCTTGGGTTCTTGAGAATTATATGAAAGATTTGCATACAAAACTTAAAAGATTGAAAGTTAGTTTTTTGTGCAGATAAAGTTGATAGGTCTGGGTCCCTCCCCAGACATCCAGGCCTATCCTTTATCCTTAAATAGTGTCACCATACCATCTATTTTCCTTCCGTGAAAAATGGCCAGCTATTCGCCATGCTACTCTCTGTATTGTGTATAAGCTTTCCTCAGTCTCCAGCCACGCATAGCTACATTCACATAGGTGAGACCCCTGTGATCAATACATTGTCATTACTTGGGTGTTCAAGTCCTACCTGAACAGGAGCTTTCCTGGACATCTATCTGAGCCCTACTCTATTCTGCCTCTATCTGGCCATGAGTGGCCTGCCTGTACTAGTCCCCTTTCCTAGGCACTGCTGTACCTGAACCTGGAAGCCAGCAGAGAGAGGAGAGAGTCTACAGTGTGTGTAGAGGGAGATAAGGGCTTCCTTTTAGCAGCTGCCAAATCCCACCCCCAGTGATTCCAATATCAAATCTGATTGTCTTCCTGTTCTGTGTGTGGAGATTTGAGATTTAAAGTGATCTGGTACTCCACACCTCTGGTCCTGCTCTATCTTTATTAGTACTCTGGAAGAAATTTAATTATTCAGTATATAGTTGCTTAGTGTTTCATTTATTCCCTAATGTTTGGACACCATTTATTCATTTAATTACTGCATAAGAATAGTTTATTATAGAGATATGCAAAAAATAGCCATTGGTCAAATCTGGTTGATGTATTTCTTTGTACAACAAATTAATACTTCTGGACTAACAATAACTTGTATTTTTAAAAATATCAGTTTATATCAAAAGAATAATATCTCATGAAATATTTTACAATGTAAAATAAAGTGTCTATGTCTATCAGTAAAGGTTTCAAAAAACAAAAATAAAACATTAATTTTTTAAAATTTTAATTAATTTTTTTAAGAATTTTTATTAGTGAAACACCATGAGGTACAGTTGTAGACATATAAATTTTTGTCCTTGGGTTTCAGTTATACAATGATTGAGTACCCTTCCCTCCTCCAGTGCCCATTCTCCACCTTCAATGCTTCCAGTATACTTCCCACCCCGTATTCCCCCCATCCCACTCCACCCCTATGGCAGGGCTTTCCCTTTTGTTTTCGCTCTCCTTTTGGATGCAGTGGTTTGCAAAAGAGGCATTGAGTGGCAATCATGTTCTGTCTATAGTCTACTTTGAGCATGCATCTCTCATCCTTGGAGGATCCTCCCAACACCTTTTATTTGGAGCTCCCTTCTCTATCTGAGCTGCCTATTACCTGAGCATATGCGGCTAGCCTCCAAGCCACAGAGTGTACCTCCTGGTAATTATCTCGACTATGCTTGTGAGTTAGTCTGCTATTTTGTTACTTTATATTCCCCAGATGACTGCAGTCTTTCTATGTCTGTCCCTCTCTTTCTGACTCATTTCGCTTAGCACAATACTTTCCATGTAGTACCACTTGTATGTAAATTTCATGACTTCATCTTTTCTAATAGCTGCATAGTACTCCATTGTGTAGATATACCAAAGTTTCTTCAACCAGTCATCTGTTCTTGGGAACTCGTGTTTTTTTTCCAGATTTTGGCTATTTTGAATAGTGCAGCAATGAACATAGAAGTGCAGATGTCATTTCGACTGTACTTTTTTTCCTCTCCGGGGTATATTCCCAGGAAAGGTATCTCTGGTTCAATTGGGAGCTCAATTTCTACTATTTTGAGAATTGTCCATACTGTTTTCCAAAATGGCTGAACCAGTTGGCATTCTCACCAGCAGTGAATGAGGGTCCATTTCTCATCACATCCACACCAACACTGGTTGCTTCTGTTCTTTTAGATGTGGGCCAGTCTCTGTAGTGGGAAATGATAGCTCATTGTGGTTTTCATCTGCATCTCCCTGATGATTTCTGATGTAGGACATTTTCTCATGTGCCTTTTAGCCCTTAAGATTTCTTCTTTGGAAAAGTTTATGTTCATTTTATCATCCCATTTTTGATGGGGTTAGAAGTTTTCTTCTTATAGCATTCAACCAGTGCTTTGTATACCCTTACCAGCCCCTTATCAGATGGCATTGGGTTAGTATCCTTTCACATTCTGTAGGTTGTCTTTGTATCTTGGTCACTGTATGTTTTGAGGTGCAGAAGATTCTAAATTTAAGAGTCCCATTTGTTTATCTCTGTTTCCTCTTGGTTGATCAGTGGAGTGTCGTCTTTGAAGATACCATTAGCCTCAATTTCATGGAGGGTTTTACCGACCTTGTCTTCAGTGTACCTTATGGATTTTGGCCTGATGTTGAGATCTTTAATACATTTTGATCTGACTTTTGCACATGCGGTTAAGTTGAGGTTTAAGCCCATTATTTTGCATGTGGTTGTCCAGTTATTCCAGCACCATTTGTTAAAGAGGCTTTCCTTGCTCCGCTTCACATTTCTTGCTCCCTTATCAAAGATTAGATGTTCATATATTTGGGGTTCTGTGTCAGGATATTTCACCCTGTTCCATTGGTCTGCAGCCCTGCCTTTGTTCCAGTACCATGCTGTTTTAATTATTACCGCTTTGTAGTAGAGTTTGAGGTTGGTGAGGGTGTTGCCAACCCATGTCTTATTTTTCAGGAATTGCTTTAGCTATTCATGGGCGTTTGAGGTTCCATATGAACTTCAGGAGTGCTTGATCTATTTCTTTGAAGAATTTCATAGGTATCCTTATAGGGATCGGATTGAATCTATATGATACTTTCTGGAGTATTGTCATTTTGACGATGTTATTTCTTCCTATCTATAAGCAGGGGATATGTTTCCATTTCCTCCTGTCCTCTTTTATATCATGGAATAGCGTTTTGTAGTTTTCATTGTAGAGGTCCTTTACCTCTTTAGTTAGGCTGATTCCAAGGTATTTAATTTTATGGGGCATGATTGTGATTGGGATTTTTTTTCATGTCACTTTTGTCTCTCTCATTATTTGCGTATAGAAACGCCATGGATTTTTGGACAATGATTTTATAGCCTGCGACTTTTCTGTACAACTCTATTGTTTCTAGGAGTTTCTTGGTAGAGAATTTAGGATTCTCAAGATATACTTATCACCTGCAAACAGTGAGAGGTTGATTTCTTCCTTACTTATCTGGATGCCATTAATGTCTTTTTCTTGCCTAATCGCAATTGCAAGTACCTCCAGTATTATGTTAAACAGAAGTGGTGATTGTGGGCATCCTTGTCTTGTCCCTGATCTTAGAGTCAGTAAAGGTTTCAAAAATAAAATTAAAAACTTACTTTACTTAATTTTAAAAAACTTTAAAAATATTTTTAGAAATTTCTAAATTTTAAGCAATGTTTCATAAAGATACTTCCATGCATTTCAACTAAAAATGATGCCTCTGAGATTAAAAAATCAGAGGTACAGTTTGGTTGGAGAAGTAGAGGGATGCAATTGGATTCGAAAAAAGAAATACATAGACAATCAGGAGTTAGTTTTGAAAACAATATTAAATTGTTAAAAACAATCCAAAGATAGATGACAAACACTTTTTTTAACTTTTAAAGGTTAAATTTACTTGTGATTGCTTTATTTACTTCTTCATTTTAATTTTTAACCACTGTGAAGAACAAGGCTATAAAATGTTTCATAGTTAAGTGCCAGGCATAAAGTTTTCCAACAGCAATCTCATTGCCACTGTCTCCTTTTCTCCACTAATATCCCAGATTTACCTACAGTCCCTAGCCTTCCTCTAGAGCAGGCACTTTCTCAATGCCCACTGCCCTGGTGTTCCATGGCCTAATTTAGCCCCCACCACAGCTCAGTGTCAAGCTTCCTTTTGAAGAACAATTCTGCTCTTCTTTTGCTTTTGCACCTTTGTTATCCCCTTAAGGTAGTTTCTTTAGTCACCGATCTGTTCTTGGGCACTTGGGCTGCCTCCATATTTTGGTTATTGTAAATAGTACGGCAAAGAACATAGGAGTATTGGTGTCTTTTCTGCTTTGTGCTTTTGGAAACTTGAGGTATATTCCAAGGAGTGGAATTGCTGGATCATACGAAAGCTCAATTGCTAGCTTTTTGAGTAATGACCATTTTGAGCAGTGATTATTTGAAATAAAATTTGGTGCTTTATTTTAAAAACAAATCTTCTCATTTAAAATGCCTTACCGCATTTAAAATTCCTCATTTGTTTTATATAGTACTGATTTATTGATTTTCTCCCAATGCATTTTCTTCAGCTCCACAAATCTTTCCCTACCAGGACCTAATTGTTTCTCTCTTTATTTTCATCTTTGTCTAACTTTCGAAATCAGGTCTATACAGCCTCCAACTATTCCCAATCGTTGACTCAAAGCACGAGTAAATCTGTGACCTGGATACTCTTGACTTGGAGTTGAAATTTTCCATCTCTGATGGATGTGGAAACAATAGTGTTCTATGTGGGATGAGGAATGTCTAATGATGTCATGGCTAGGGGTCTTTCTCTACAAACTGTAGATTAAAGACTACTCTCTAAGACCTCAAGATATTCTGTGTCTTATTGCATCAGATAGAATGCTTATGTTTGTACTTCATTTATGAAAACACTTAAATAACAAGAGCCTCTGAAATTCTTTTATGATAATGCCAGTCATTCATTTTATTTAGAATGCTTCTATTTTCTGTTTTTGATCACCAAATAAAAGAAATGACAGGAAAATAAATACAGAGAGTGAACTCTTTAGACCCTGACTAAAATAAATTCTTTAGCAAAAGCTTTCAGATGTTAGAAAACAATTATTTTTCTTTTGCTGTCTGTGTTATATCTGATGGTGCTCAGGGTTTACTTCTGTCTCTGTACTTGGGGATTACTCCTGGTGGGTCTCAGGGGAAAATATGGGGTGCCTTGGATTGAACCCACTGTGTCTACAGGCAAGGTCTCAATTTAAAAAAAAATTAATTCTATATTAGTTTCTAATTTTCCCTTCTGTCTCCCCAAATTTATATTCTCTACTTGTTAGGGTCTATTATTTTATGTGTAATGATTATGAATTATCCACGCTATTTCCCTTATTTTAAAAGTACTTTGAAATATATGCCTAAGAATGGATAAATAAGACATTTTCCAATGAGAATGTAATGATAAAGAATTTAATTTTTCAATGTTAAAATTTTTGCTTTAATTTTAAATTTTTCAGGTCATCACTAATATTATCCATGGAGAAATAGTTCCTTAATTTTTCAAAATATTTTAATTGTTCTGGGGGCATACCCATTTGTTCTCAGTGCTTACTCCTGACTCTGTGCTTAGGGATCATTCCTGGGGGCATAATTTTGGGGACCAAATGGGGTGCCAAAGGTTGAATCTGATTTAGTCACATGCAAGGCAAGTGCCTATTCACTGTACTATCTCTTTGCGCCATACTTCATATTTAACAAATCTGTTTTCTGTCAGTGACACTGTCTCTTATTGCTGCCCTGGTGCTCCATTACTTATATTCCTACAACATTTCCCAATTTATTTTTATTTTATGTTATTTCTATGATTGAACAAATACTTTTTGTGTCCTGTGTCATCAATATTTTGTCCTGTTTCCTCTGATTCATTGGCAATTTTAGAAAACCAATAATTGTCATAATTTGAAATGACAAATGGACAAATAAAAATGGTAAATCAATGATTATAAAATGTAAGTAAATGACTTAATTCTATTTTATTTTGTTTGATTTTGGAACCTTGAAAGTGGGCCTCAGAAAGCGTTGGGGTCTCTACTCTATGATTTTATTCACTAGGTTTAATACTAATCCTGAGGAGGCAGTGCTGTTGTGCCTTCTGGTGACATAAATTATAGAGGTGTCCTAGAGACTTGGGTCACTACTACAGGGTTCAGGAGCATTCACCATCATGCTGAGTGATGCTTGTTGCCTCCAAGGTTGCACCCAGTGATACTCGAGGGACCATGTAATGAAAGAGATCTAACCTGGTTGGTCACGTGTAAGATATATTCCTTAATCTCTTTCTCTCTATAGCCTCTTAATTTAATTTAGTGGATTCAGTAATTGACAGATCTATTAGAACATTAGAAAATCATTGACTTTCTAGTTTTTCAGGCTCATGCGATGTGATTACTAAAAATTCAGAAATTTTGTGACCTGGCTTTAAACACTTCCACCATTAGTTCTTAAATGATAAATAATAGTTAAAATTGAAATTGTATGAATAACTTACTTTAATTTACTATCATTCATATTCTTGAGGTTATTTGGAAATATTGTATCTGTATGACTGGAAATATACATACCATTCCACAACAAACTTCATCTTTGTTTTTAAGAAGTTTTATTTGATCACCGTGAGAAACAGTTACAAACTTTATGATTATGTTTAGGTCACACAATGCTCAAGCACCCATCCCTCCACCATTGCACATTTTCCAACACCATTGTTCCCAGTGTCCCACTCGCCACCCCCACCCCAAACCCGTTCTTTCTAACTCTCTCTCTAATTTTGAGCATTATAGTTTTTAATACAGATACTCAGAGGCCATCATGTTTGGTCCTTGGTCTACTTTCACCACACATCTCCCATCCTGGGTGATCCCTCCAATCATCATTTACATAGTGGTTCCTTCTCCATCCCAAATGCCTTTATCCCCAGCACATGGGGAGCTTCCATACTATGGTGTGACCCTCATGGCCCTTATCTCTTCTGTCCTTAGGGCGTTTGCCTTGCACGCAGCCAACATGGCCGACCCGAGTTCGATTCCTCCGCGCCTCTCGGAGAGCCTGGCAAGCTACCGAGAGAGAGTATCTCGCCCACACGGCAGAGCCTGGCAAGCTCCCTGTGACATATTCGATATGCCAGACACAGTAACAACAAAGTCTCCAATGGAGACGTTACTGGGCCCGCTCGAGCAAATCGATGATCAACGGGAGGGCCTTTACTTTACTTTACTTTACTCTATTCCACAAATGAGTGCAGTCATTCTATGCCTGTCCCTCTTTTTCTGATTAATTCCACTTACCATGATAATCTCCACATCTATTCACTTATATGTGAATTTCATGATTTCATCTTTTCTAACAGCTGCATAGTATTTCACTGTGTCGATGTACCAGAATTTCTTTAAATAGTCATCAGTTCTCTCACACTCGGTTTTTTCCAGATTCTGTCTATTTTGAACAGTGCTGTAATAAACATACAAGTGCATAAGTTATTTCTAGTGTGCCCGCAACATACTTTCACATTGTGTAATAGAGGGAAATTTTTTTTCCAATTCTTTTCTCATTTTTATCAAATTGGTTGCTAAGTTAGGTGTGTTTAAAGTATTTACACCACAATATCAGTAACTCTAGTCTTATGTTTTATTAGAATAAGAACTTACCTTTTCAAGCTCAAAGTTTTAAATTTCTTTTATTTTGTTTATGGTCCACACCTGGCAATTCTCATGACTTATTCTCAGCTCTGCACTCAGAGATTACCCGAGTGTGCTCAGAAACAATATAGAATATCAGGAATCGAAACCAGATTAACTGCATGTCACATATGCATTCTACTCACTTTACTATCTTTCTAGCACTCAAGATTCAATTTCAGATCTTTTCAAATACTCCATAATGTGTAAGATAATAATTTGTCAAATAATTCTCATCCCTTCCCTTTTCCATTTTCCTAACCCCAGTCTCAGTGGAAAACTACAGTGCCATCTGCACTGGATGTAAATTCTCATATAGCCTATGCATGGGGGACTCAGTGTTAAATATATTATATACATATAATTTATATTAATGTTAACGTGGTAGAAATAGTACTATTGTGAAAAATGTTCAATGTGGAAAGTCTGTGAAGACAGTTGGGAGAGATGTGAGACAACAGACAAAAAATGCTGCCTGAGAAGTATGTCATCTTAAGTTTGAATCTGAAAAACAATATAGTGTGTAGCACTGTAGCACTGTCCTGTAGCATTGTCTTCCCATTGTTTATCAATTTGCTCGAGTGGGCCCAGTAACATCTCCATTGTGAGACTTGTTGTTATGTGTTTGGCATATTGAATACGTCACTGGTAGCTTGCCAGGTTTTGCAGTGTGGGCAAGATAATCTCAGTAGATTGCAGGCCTCTTGGAGAGGGGTGGAGGAATTGAATTCAGCTCGGCCAGGCTGACTGTGTGCAAGGCAAACACCCTACCGCTGTGCTATTGTTCCAGTGTAGTGTGTAGTTTGTTAAAATTATTGAACAAAGTATTCAAAGCAGAGGGAGCAGAAGAGTATCTTGACATTAACTTATCATGCTATGAAATAATTAGTATGTCTAATGATGAGGGAGGTTTATACTCTTAAGCCCAGGATTCTGGGTTCCAAAGCAGCAAGACAGACAGAGACACAAACACAATAATTCAGAAGCAGTAAAACTTTTATTGAAGGATGGGAAAACTCCTGACTAATTCTTAAATAGTAAACAGATAAATTACATCTAGCTATATACTAGTGATGAAATTTGAATTTTTTACCAAGCACCATGTAAAGCTATTAAAGGACTAGTAAAGAGTTTCCACATCCTTCAGTAAACGTCTTAACAAAGTTAGTGATTTAATCAACAAAAAATTATCATTAACCTATAATTTTGTAAGTAAGTTAAATATTAATTTCAAGGACTGAAAATAAAAAATAAGCAAGGTATTTTTTTTTCTACAGAGGATTCTACTCAGTTATTTAGGTTGTTTGGAGAAACAACACTTTCTTCTAGTTATATCAATGAAAGCACTTATTTTTCACTGGCTTTTAGAAATCACTACACTTCTTTAAATTAATCTTCTCCTACTCTCAGAGCCAGAAATAATTTTAGTATGTTCTTTGATTTTAGTATTATCCCCTATGACAGATCTCATGTATATTTTCCCAAGAAAATATTTTTTGTATTCTTTATGTCTCATGTCAGTACTATAAAGCCATATAGATAAATTATAATGATCTCACTATCTTTTAACCTTATTCTTATCTATAGTTTACCACAGTCACTGCTTCCAATGAAACATGGTAGGAATTATTTCATAAAACTATTATTTATTACCATATATGAAATTTTATCAATTGGCATATGAAGAGTAAATTCAAAAGAATGATCTTGACCTATTTTTGATCTTCCTCCATCACATACTTTAGTCACCTGATGGATGAACCTAGTTATCATGCTTCATGGAGCTGTTTTTAATCCTCCAAAATAAAAGTAACACTCTGGGGTTCAAAAATAGCATAATCAATTTAGGGCATTTGACTTGCTTATTGCTAACCTGAATTCCATCCTAGCATCCTGTAAGGTTCCATGAACTGCAACAGAAATGATTTCTGAGCACAAAGCCAGGAGCAAGCCCTGAGCACCTACAGATGTGTCTCAACCACCACAAAACACAATAAAGAAAAGAAAAGAAGACAAAAAAGAAAGAAAAGAAAAGAAAACTATATATAGTGTCCTATGAATATTATGGGGCTGGAGCGATAGCACAGCAGTAGGGCGTTTGCCTTGCACACAACCAACATGGCCGACTCGAGTTCGATTCCTCCACCCCTCTTGGAGAGCCCGGCAAGCTACCGAGAGTATCTCGCCCACACGGCAGAGTCTGGCAAGCTACCCATGATGTACTTGATATGCCAAACAGAGAAACAACAAGTCTCATGATGGAGATGTTACTGGGCCCACTCGAGCAAATCGATGAACAACGAGAGGATCGTGATAGGTTTGAATATTATGTCCTGGACCCAGGTTTAATTTTAGAAGTCATACATTTCAATGCTGCTTAAACTTTAGTAAATCTTTTTTATATATATAATTTAATTATTTATTGAATCACTGTGGCAAAAGTTACAAAGCTTTCAGATTTAGGTCTCAGTCATGCAAATATCAAACACATTTTCCTTTACTAATGCTTATTTTCTACCACGAACCCCAATAAAACCCCACCTCCCACCCCTCCCAATTCCTGTGAGGCCAATGAGTTCTAGTTAACACTCTATCTACTTTGACTAGATTCATTGTTTCGATAATGAATGCACCATTATTATTTAGAGTTTACCCCCCCCCGCCTCAATCAGAAATGCTGAAAAAGCATTGTGAAATGATTTGTTTTCTACAGCTGGATTCAAGCATTAAATGCTGTCGCGCGGCCACAGTAGCTCGGCAATAGCAGCCGCGCGGTTTTGGATTTCTGCTATTTTACTTATTAACCCTGTAGGTATTTCTAT